TGAATCTCTCTTTACTGTATATCTCTCTTTTTCTGACCACATGACTCTTTATTTGCTAAGCAATATGAAGAGGATTAAAGCCATGGCTTTAATGGCTGGATCCAGCCCATTCCTTAGCTTTCTGAGATTCCAGCCTCATGGCAGAGGTACTGGCTATAGCCATATTTTTTTTTAAATATTTATTTATTATGTATACAATATTCTGTCTGTGTGTATGCCTGCAGGCCAGAAGAGGGCACCAGACCCCCTTACAGATGGTTGTGAGCCACCATGTGGTTGCTGGGAATTGAACTCAGGACCTTTGGAAGAGCAGGCAATGCTCTTAACCTCTGAGCCATCTCTCCAGCCTATAGCCATATTTATTGCCACAACTCTATGGCGTTTCAAGGTCCCTGCCAGCAAGCGAGCTGCAGCAGTCTGATCACAAACCACACTCAAATGTAGCTGTACCTCCTTCCTTTTTTTTTTTTTTTTCGAGACAGGGTTTCTCTGTGGTTTTGGAGCCTGTCCTGGAACTAGCTCTTATAGACCAGGCTGGTCTCGAACTCACAGAGATCCGCCTGCCTCTGCCTCCTGAGTGCTGGGATTAAAGGTGTGCGCCACCACCGCCCGGCTGTGTACCTCCTTCCTGAAAGAGTCAGAGTTTGTGCTGACAGGACAGCCTAGAAAGCCAGCATTTTAAAACAGCGTAGCTTTTTTCCTTCTACGGTTGAAAACCAAAAAGCATGTGGTCAGCTTTTCATCAACACCATTTAAGTGTTTCGTGTCAGGACCTCTTAAAGAGCTGCAGGGTTTTGCAGCTAAAGCTGAGTCAGGAAGCCTCTCTTAAATGGAGAGAACAGACAATTATAACATCTAACAGTAAACATAGGTGTATTTAAGTTTTATGTATGTACACACAGTGAAAAGGAATTGGGCAAAGTGGATACTCTTGGTGGGTCCTACCAAAGACATGCCACTGCACAAAACACACATGTAACAGAGTCAGCACTGTGAACCAGGCAGGGAATACCTCAGAAAAGATGGCAGGACTTGGTCACCTGACCTGGCTCTCAGTTAAGATGGCGGTAAAGTCACCTAACCTCAGTCAAAATTGTGGCAGCCACATGTTGTATGGAGAAGCCACTTTTTTTGAGCTGTGGGAGTTTTATCTAGAGGTGTGATTTGCTCTGTTGCCAAGCCACCATGCCACAAGCCACGGTGGGGAGCAAAGGCTGGAATTGAAAACAGCTGCCTCGTGGATTCAACCAATCTTGTTTGTAGCAGTGGTAGGGACAGTTTGAGAAAAAGCAGAACTGGTGGGACACCAGCGAAGCATAGTTTGAAGGTTTATACCATAGCTGAAAACGCGAAAATCACTGCAGGGCCTGTAGAAGAGCGTCCTCTCTCTATAGGCGGGGTGTTAAAGCCTGACTGGCTCCAGCCTGGGAGACTTGGAAGCCAGAGAGGCTTAGAGGCTGCTCTGCGCCCTCTCTCTCTCTCTCTCTCTCTCTCTCTCTCTCTCTCTCTCTCTCTCGGCAGGAACAACTTACAGGTGGTCCAAAAGAAAAGAAAAAAAGCAAGGAGAAAGAAAAATGAATGCACCACACAGCCTGTGCAGTGCTAGCACGGGAGGACAACCCTGGGTCATCTGGTCATACTTTTAGCTATGGGAAGCAACCAGAGATGAATGTTAGCGAAGGGCTCAACCATAGCCATGAAGGTTGTGGTTGGGAGTTGGAAGGGGAAAACTCACCACCAAAGCCACTGGTGTACATGGAGGTTGGCATTTAGGCAGATAGAACGCAGAGCTGCTGTGAAGAAACCTGGTTCCCAAGCCCAGGGTTCCACTTGTCCTCAGCTGACCCTCCCATGGGCAGGAGGGAATGTGGAGAGCCTGGCCGAGTCACAAGCACCAGTATTATGATCATCGTGGCTGTCATTCTCAATGACATTAGAGAAGAATGCTGCCATGCTGAGTGGGGTCAGGAACGATGAAACCAGGACAAATCAGTACTAAATTTCTCCCTGAAAAAGGCTTGCGTGTTTAGATTTACCAAGAGCCAAGGTAAAGAGGGAGAGGTGACCACTGTGCTATTATTTATTCAATATTATTATTATTATTATTATAGTATAACAGTAAATCACCCAAATAAAACATCTGAACTAGGCATTGCAGTTCTTGCCTTGAATCCCAACTTGGGATGTAGACAAGAGGATCATGAATTCAAGGTCATCTTAAGCAACACAGTGAGTATAAGGTTAACCTGGACTACACACCATGTCTGCCTGCACACTGCCATGCTTCCCACCATGATAATGATGGACTAAACCTCGAAACTGTAAGCGAGCCCTTCAATTAAATGTTTTCCTAATAAGAGTTGCCGTGGTCATGGTGTCTCTTCACAGTCATAGAAACCCTAAGACAGGCAGAAAGTCCAGGTCTTTAGCTGAGCCTCTTTTTGCCTCCCAAGACCCACTTGTGACCCCTTTTCAACACATGCACATACACACACACACACACACACACACACACACACACACACGTTCCTCCAGGTTTGTACGACCTGTTTGAACTTTCTTATTGATTCTGATTCCGAAAGGGCAGAACTGTCTGTAGTGCCTCTGTGTCCCGCCGGGATGCCTGAGTTGCACAAAACTAAGCAAACATCTGTGCTTTTATCACCCTGCCCCGCCCGTCTTTCCTGCCTCCCAGGTCAGGGAATGACCCGACCCTCACTGTGATGAGTCTGTCAATCAGCACCCATCAAACACTGCAGATCGAGTCTTTCCTCTGAGCTTTCTCTGTGTGTGTCTAGGGGTGCCTGGAGCTGACTGGGACATAACCAGAGGGCAGCTTGGACCTGGGTGTGTGTGTCTGGGTTCCTGGTCCTTTCTTGACTCTGTGGCTTTGTCACTGTACAACCCCAGTGTCCCCACCCTGTCTTTGGTTTCTTTATCTGTTCAAAGTGGGAGATAGTTTAAGTCAGTGCTTTGCAACTTTTGTCTTGTTTTGTTTGAGACAGGGTTTGTCTGAGTAGCCTTGGCTGTCCTAGAACTAACTCTGTAGTCCAGGCTGGCCTCGAACTCAGAGATCTGCCTGCCTCTGCTTTCCAAGTGCTGGGATTAAAGGCATGTGCCACCACCGCCCAGTGCTTTGCAACTTAAAAAAAAAAATAGTGGCCTTTTCTCAAAGGACACCTAAAGGAGCTTTGGCATTTGGGGAATCAACTTAGGATATGTGTGACATTGTTGGCTTCTACCCTGCTTTTGCTACAGGGTAGGTGACTTAGTTGTCTATTATTCCACTGAAACATCATAACCAAAAGCAACTTGGGGAGGAAAGGGCATATTTCATTTATACTTCTACATTGCTGTTCATCACTGAAGGAAGTCAGGACAGGAACTCAAACAGGGCAGGATCCCGGAGGCAGGAGCTGATGCAGAGGCCATGGAGGGGTGCTGCTTACTGCTTGCTCCCCATGGCTTGCTCAGCCTGCTTTCTTATAGAACCCAGGACCATCAGCCCAGGGTTGGCACCACGAGGGATGGCACCTTTAACACCCGATTCTGTGTTACCCTCTCGGTACAGTTCGCGCACCACTGTACTGTGCGCTAGTCGGGTAAGGGCCTGGAGATTGAAAGAACACACAAGAGACCTGGGTCATTTGAAAGGAGATCAGCCAAATGCCATTTATTCAACCTTGGGGAAATCCTTATATACCTAGCTGCTGCACATGGATTTCCGCCCAGGTAGGTGGGAAATTACCACACCAAAGATGGAGTCAACAATGCCCTACAGCTAATCACCAGGCAGGGCAGAGGGAGCACAGGAACAAACAGAATGTTTTAGTTAGCTGACCAGAAACTGTCCTCAAGATGAACCCCAGGAGCAGAGGTAGACCTGGGCCCTACGGGCACCACCCACAATGGACTGGGCCCTCCCGAAATGATCAGCAATTATGAAAATGTTCTATAGACTTTCCAGTCTACTGCTGGTAGATATTATGAGTCATTTTCTCAGTACAGGTTATGACAAATTAACAGAAAACTAACTGGCCCAGTAAATGAGAACACGAGTGTCAGCAGGAACAAACCCTTCTGCTGGTACTACCTGAACTCTTGGAGACACTGAGGAGACCACCGCTCCAATGGCTTCTCTAGGACGCTTTTTTTTTCTTTTTAATATTTATTTATTTATTATGCATACAATATTCTGTCTGTGTGCATGCCTGCAGGCCAGAAGAGGGCACCAGACCTCATTACAGATGGTTGTCAGCCACCATGTGGTTGCTGGGAATTGAACTCAGGACCTCTGGAAGAGCTGGCAATGCTCCTAACCTCTGAGCCATCTCTCCAGCCCTCTAGGACGCTCTTGAAAAGAGGCAGACTGGGGGGCTGGAGAGTGTTCCTGAGACCCCAAGAGGGGCTAGCACAGTCCCTGGGCTGACTTAAGTCAGAACATCCTCTCCATCCATGTGTGGGAGGTATAAGGAAAACTTAGGGTTCAGTGGATGACTCCCTTACATAAGGAAGTCCAGCCCTCATCCTGAATCCTGGGCTGTGGGCCAAGCTCTGCTTTGGCTGCAAATAGTCAAGGTTAACCAAAAAGTCACAGTACAAAGGCCATCCAGGACACCAGGCATAGTGTCCAGGGGACTTCTCTTAGACAGCAAGTAGCTAAGGTCTCCGTGTCTCCTCTATACCCAGCTGCCCTGCTATGCTGGTCCTTGGCTCTCCTGCCTGGTTTCTGAGGCTCAGTGTATACAGGCCAGCTCCATAGACACTATGATCTCTGGTGGATGGTAGCCCTTCCCTGTAGGCACAACTAGCAAGGTAGGATCTGTAGTATGGATGATGGGGGAGGGCCCAGGCCTGGGCCAGCCCTGGGGGCTGGACTCTGGCTACAGACTCTCCCCTTGTCAGTATAACCATTTCCACCTCCAGAGTCCAAGGGTCCATGTCTCAAGCAGTCTGAGCCGTGCTAGGCACGACAGAGGGACACTTGGTGGGTGGGCAGCATGGGCTTTGAGGAGCTCCTGGACAAAGTGGGTGGCTTTGGCCCCTTCCAGCTGCGGAATCTGGTGCTAATGGCCCTGCCCCGGGTGCTGCTGCCCATGCATTTCCTCCTGCCCGTCTTCATAGCCGCTGTGCCTGTCCACCACTGTGCCTTGCCTGGTGCCCCTGCCAACCTCACTCACCAGGACTTGTGGCTGGAGGCCCATCTGCCCCGGGAAACTGATGGCAGCTTTAGCTCCTGCCTCCGCTTTGCCCATCCCAAGGCTCTCCCCAATACCACCTTGGCAACAGGGGCACACAGCTCTGGGGAGCCTGAGGGTGAACCCACCACGGTACCCTGCTCTCAGGGCTGGGAGTACGACCACTCAGAATTCTCCTCCACCATTGCAACTGAGGTACTTGAGCCCAGAGGGTGTGGGATGTGTTAGTGCCTGTCACTACCTTGGAGGTTGTTGTGTGGGTGTGAGATAACCTTCCTCTGCTCTGAGAGTTTTTGCTTGCCTGTGTGTAGAGTCTATGGATGGAAAGCCCTGAGTTGAGGTCTGGGTTTGGACTGAGAAATTCATCTGTTATATTCACTGGGAGCTGATGAAGGCAGGGGAGGGCTAAGGTGGCTCCAGAGTGTTGGAACAGAAAGCCGAGGAGGACGTCCTTGCAGTAAGAGATGGATAAACTACAGAGGCCTCCATTTCTCCCCTCTCCCTCATTTCCAGGACCAGGTCTGAGATTTACATGATTCATCCAGAAAGGAAGGGTGGGTGGAGTAGAGTCTCCCGGGGTTGGGGGTGGGGAGAGGGAGAGGACAGCAGGATTCCTGGGCGGTGGTGATGGTCCAGGGAGAGGCAAAGCCTTCCCTTTCTGATGCTGAGGTTGCTAGCCAGGGATGGGGTATCTTCCGGAATGTCAGAGTTGCCCTGGAGTCTGGAGAGGAGAGACTGGTGCTGGCTGGAGAGGGACTCACCCACATGAATCGCCCCTTCCTCGCTTGTCTGCAGTGGGACCTGGTGTGCGAGCAGAGAGGGCTAAACAAGATTACCTCCACCTGCTTCTTCGTTGGGGTGCTGCTGGGGGCTGTGGTGTACGGAAACTTGGCTGACAGGTTAGACAGGCACAAGATAAATAAGGGACCAGGCGGAGGGGGCTCCCTCCCAATGGGATCTGACTTTGCAACGGCCCTTTGCAGGTTTGGCCGGCGCCAGCTTTTGCTGGTGGCTTATGTGAGCTCCCTGGTGCTGGCCCTGGCATCTGCCGCCTCAGTCAACTACATCATGTTTGTCATCACCCGAACCCTCACTGGCTCAGCCCTGGCTGGTTTCACCATCATTGTGTTGCCACTGGGTGAGGCGGATAAACATGGGAAGGCTTGCAGGGCCGGTGGGAGGCTGATAGAATTAGATGGGCCCATCTGGCCCTTGCTAACTGTCTTCCTGTCTCCGATGGCTCCATGGCTCCGGGTATAGAGTTGGAATGGCTGGATGTGGAACACCGCACTGTGGCTGGTGTCATCAGCACCATCTTCTGGACAGGAGGAGTGCTGCTGCTAGCACTGGTTGGGTACCTGATACGGAGCTGGCGGTGGCTTCTGCTAGCTGCCACCCTGCCATGCGTCCCAGGCGTCATCAGCATCTGGTGAGAGCTGCAAGCAGCTGGGAGTGACGGATACGTACAACCAAGACAAAATTAACTAGACTAAGGTTCTAAAACAGGCTGAGGAGATGGCTTACCTGGTAACAGCACACACTGGAGGACCCAAGTTCAATTCCCAGGACATACATCAGGCAGCATGCAAGCCCAGCTCTAGGGGATCAAACACCTCTGGCCTGTGTGTACATATGTGCACACATACAAACATGTACACATGCATATACCACACACACACACACACACACACACACAAAGAAACTAAGAGATGCAGAAACAGAGTCGGGGACCAAGAGACAAAACAATATCAAGAGAAGCCAGAAAAACAGAAATCAATAGAAAGAAGATGGCACAAGACACAGGCATGGTGAGACCGAGACTGAGCCAGAGAGAGGTAGTGATAACAGACCGGAACTGAAAGGCAAATGCCAAGGGTCCGATGAAGACACACAGGCACAGGTAGTAAGAAACAGACAGGAAAGACAGTGGTCAGAGTCAGACACTGCCAAGTGGAGGCTGGGGTTTGCCTTCAAGGGACAAGGATGGGACGCGGCCTGCATGGTGGTGGAAACTAAGGCAGGAGAATGGAGGGCCTGGCAAAGTGGGTGCTTTATTGCCTCCTAATGGGGAACTGTGTATCAGTATGTTTCTCCAGCCCTCATCCTGCATCTTCCTGCCAGAAGTGTTGGCTGTGTTGGGGGCTAAGGTTTTGAGGGTAAGATAAATTCAGTTGAGGGGGCTGGAGAGACAGCTCAGTGGTTAAGAACATTGCCTGCTCTACCAAAGGTCCTGAGTTCAATTCCCAGCAACCACATGGTGGCTCACAACCATCTGTAATGAGGTCTGGTGCCCTCTTCTAGCCTGCAGACATACACACAGACAGAATATTGTATACATAACAAATAAATAAATTTTTTTTTTTTTTTTTGGTTTTTCGAGACAGGGTTTCTCTGTGGCTTTGGAGCCTGTCCTGGAACTAGCTCTGTAGACCAGGCTGGTCTCGAACTCACAGAGATCCGCCTGCCTCTGCCTCCCGAGTGCTGGGATTAAAGGCGTGCGCCACCATCGCCCGGCCAATATTTTTTTTAAAAAAAAAAAGATAAATTCAGTTGAGTAAGCAAAGGACACCTTGGAAGACTGGGGAGTGGGTTCTAGGCCTGAATAATGAATCAGGGAAGAGGTGGCTTTGTTTTTCAAGACCAGGGTTTCTCTGTGTTGCCCTGACTGTCTTGCAACTCACTTTGTAGACCAGGCTAGCCTCAAACTCGTAGATCCACCTGCCTCTGCCTCTGAGTGGTGGGCTATTAAAAGCATGTGCCACCACCACCCGGCTGCAAGGTAGCTTTTAAATTGGGCCCAGACAGGAGTTCATGGGACTGAACAGTAGGAGACCAGGGGCAGGGATTGGGGGTGGCCATGTCTTTTCAGGCAGAAGGGGCTGCATGAGTGAGAACCTGGAGTCTATAGTCTGGAAGCTCAGGAGGTAGAGGTAGCTTGCAAGGCTGGTTTCTAGCTGAAGGGTTCTTTGGCTTCTCCCCTAGGTGGGTACCTGAGTCTGCACGATGGCTTCTAACCCAGGGCCGTTTGGAGGAGGCCCGGACATACTTGTTCCGCTGTGCCAAGCTCAATGGGCAGCCTGTGAGCGAGGACAGCCTGAGCCAGGAGGTAAGGGTGACAATGGATATAAGAGAGTGCCCAGGGGTGGGTGTCTAAGTGCCCCTTTTCCTGGGCCCACCATATATGACCAGAAAAGCCTTTGTCTTCCAGTGGAGAGCACCTAGTGGTCTTCCAGTGGAGAGTAGCCTGCCTGGCTCTGGTGGGCCATCTCCTTTACTCCAGGTCCTCCACGTGTACTCCCCATCCCCAGTACTGCTGGGGAGAGAGAGAGATGCAGAGAGCGCACAGGCTTCTGAGACAAGCTCTGATGGCACAGCCTTGCTCCCACCCTCACCAGGTTCTGAACAAAGTGGTCACTGTGGAACGGGTGCTGCGAAGACCCTCATACCTAGACCTGTTCCGAACCCCGCAGCTCCTACGCATCTCACTGTGCTGCATGATGGTGTGGTAAGAGGGGCTGAGCTGGGGCTGGGTGTGAAAAAGGTGAGGGCCAAGAGTGACTGGGGAGGGGAGACAGGGAGGGGACTCTGACGGAGGCAGGCCCAGTGGAGTAGGCAGCTCTGTGACTTGACATCTATTTTTGTGAAATGAACTGGTTGCGGTCAGTTCCTGTGCCACAGGGTTGCTACTAAGATTGGGGTAAAGGCATTTTGGCCACTGGTAACCTACTTGGGGATTATGGGTGACTAGGAGTGAAGGGGGACCTCTAGGCTGCCAAGAGGCAGGAGGGGCGAGGCAGAAAAGGGCTCTGAAGGAGCTTTGTGATTCTGTTCAGGTTTGGAGTAAACTTTGCCTACTATGGCTTGATTCTGGACGTGTCTGAGCTGGGGCTGAACGTGTACCAGACGCAGCTGCTGTTGGGGGCTATGGAACTGCCCTCCAAAATCGTGGTCTACTTCCTCGTGCGTCATGTGGGACGCCGCCTCACAGAGGCTGGAACACTGCTTGGTGCCACTCTGACCTTTGGCATCAGCCTGCTGGTGTCTCCAGGTGAGCTGAGGTCTTGAGGCCTGGCAGTTTGTCTTTGCTCTGGGCAGACAGTCTGGCTTGCACCCAGGGAGTTCCTAGAATCATTAAATCTAGGAACTAATGATTAGTTAGTTTCTAGAATCACTGCGAGAATCCCTTTCCCTCCAGGGACCAAGTACTGGGTCACAGCTCTGTTGTTGTTGGGAAAAGGGTTTTCTGAAGCTGCCTTCACTACAGCATACCTGTTCACATCTGAGTTGTACCCTACTGTGCTCAGGTGAGTTGTGGTCCCAGGTGACTGACTTGCCTTAACAAAGGCATCTGCAGTCACACTGCCCTATCTGTTCTTTAGCTACAGCCAGGTACATCGTGGTTGTTTGCCCAAGTCTTGGAGAGCACAGGGAATTTTTTATCTTTTGTACTGTGTGACCTTGGGCCACATTAACCTTATGGGGCTCCTTTGAAGAAAACAGTTCCAAAAATACCCATCCTACTCATGGTGTTGCAGAGCCCTTGGGGATGGTCTCTGGGTACAAGGCAGGGGCCTCCCCTCGGTGTAAGCTACAGATCTCCCTTCCACATTACCGGCTTATAGCTCCTCGTAGCGGTCCCTGAGCAGCACTCTGGCAGAATGGGAGTTCCATCTTCTGGTGGGTACTGGGTAGGGAGTGAGAAGGCACTATCAGGGGCTGCCAGCCTAGGAGGGGAGCCTTGTGATGCATGTCCCCCTCATCCTCTCTTGGACACAGACAGACAGGATTGGGACTCACTGCACTCATCGGCCGGCTAGGGGCCTCTTTAGCCCCACTGGCAGCCTTGCTAGACGGAGTATGGCTGATGCTGCCCAAACTTGCTTATGGGGGAATTGCCCTGCTGGCTGCCTGCGCTGCACTCCTGTTGCCCGAGACAAAGGTGGCACAGCTGCCAGAAACCATCCAGGATGTAGAAAGAAAGAGGTATATGTGCATGTGTGTGGTATTCATGAGTTCAAGTGCCTAAGCCCAACACTTGAGTGCCAAGGGGAAGACAGTTACACAGCTACATTTGACATCTGTACATGTGTACACAGGTGTTTTGAGGTGTATGCCCTGTGTGTGTAAATTGTATACATAAAATCATACATAAGTCCATACCTTTATGTATATACTGACATCCATGAAGAGATACACCAGAATATGTCCAGACGCATATGGGAATGTGTGTGCTTGTTTGCAAGGAGCCCTTGAAGGCTCCAGGACTAAACCCCACCATGTTCCTGACCCCTCCTTCCTCCTTGTCCTGTCCAGTATTCAGGAAGAAGATATGCAGGTCCGGAACTGAGGGAGACTAGAGATAGCCCTCCAAAGGAGCTCTGCGGGACCAGAAACAGAAGGCAGGCTCCTGAGACTGGGACATCACAGCCCTGTGCCTAAAAATGAAGTTGCCACTGGCACCTTCTGTATTCTTTCAGTCTCCAGCAAAAGGACAGCCTCCCAGAATGCACTGGGCACCCCTCATGCCTCGGGGATTCTGTAAATTAAGATGCCTCCTGGGTTGGGGCAGTTTTGAGGTTTGGAGAGATTCCTCCATTGACTTGATCCTCAGCTCTGATTCTGGCTTTGTCACTGTTCATCTCCCAAGTGGAAAATGAAACTTCCTAGCAGACAAGATACATTGTCACACTCAGACTGAACAAGGGGATTCTAGGAATGTTGCTGAAGGACAGTTCTCTGCTCTTCTCTAGTACACGAGACTGATGGGTGTGCTGTCTCTGGTGCAGGGATAGGATCTGCCCAAGGACGGGACCAACAGATGGAGCTGCTTGTGCCCCTGCTCCCCCATCACAGTCTAGGCTTCATACCTACAGAGTTAGTTATGAGAGTCAACATTTTATTAGAGAAACCAGGGAGCTGAGACTCAATAAATGACCTCGATGAGTATACGTGGAAACTCCAGCATTGCTGGGAGAAGGAACTGGGAAGCCAGGAGATCACCATTCTAAGTGGGGTAGCCTATCCAGATAGGAATTGGGAAGCAAAGAATTGGCAGAGCAAGTCCAGATTTAGGTCTACCACCGGGCCTAGGCCCAGACCCCTGGGATTTCACTGTTTTCCTCCCAAAAGGACTAGGGAATTCCAGAGCTTCCAGTGGACCGAAGAGAGGGTGGGAGGCCTGAGTTAGGATGATCAGTCCCGTGAATGGCTCATTTGGATCTTATCTCCACTGGGTCATAGATATAGCAGCCCACATTGCCAATGTTCACACCTGAAGGAGAAAGTCCTGTCACCAAGGGCTTTGGTGGAACGAGTGTTGAGGGCTAAAGGGAGAGGGGAGGAGCTTGGGATGTCTGACTACAAAAGAAGTTCTTCACACATTAGCCCCAGTGTCTGGGGTCTGGCTGCCCACCTTTGGGGCCAAACAGGTATCCATAACAGGGGATGTGGCAGTAGGGTATGCCATCATGCTGGAAGACAGAAAAAGAATCTCCTTAGTCTGTCTCTTCCTACTGGACTCCTTCCTTCAGCATAACTTGCATTTCTGCCTTGCTCACCTCCGCGTGACTCCCAGCAGTCAAGGTCTTCCTACAACGTTGGCACCTCAGGCAGGGTCGGTGCCAGTTTCTGCCCAAAGACATCACCTTCTCCGCTGGTGGTGGAGAGAAGTGGTAGCTCTTCCCATCCTAGGGACAGGGCAAGGCCAACTCCCTGCCTCAAGTCACCACCCTCCCCCTCTGCTGCCTAAGCAAGGTTTCTGTTGTCACTTACCAAAATAGACAGGTTCTCCACATCCAGGGCACAGTGAGGTCTCCCCAGTAAATGTCTTCATGTAGGGAGGGCCTTTAATGGGAAGAGGCCCCAGATAGGGCTGTGGTGGGGACCAGGCACTAAGCAGAGCCCTCCAACCCCTGCCAGTGTATGGCACTGTCCACTTTCCAAACCCATTCTTCCCCACCACACCATACCCCAGGCAGCCATGAATGCGCTTCCCTTGAGCTCAAGACTCATCCTACCCTATTGGTCATCTTCACTGGGGACTACCTGCTGCCTTGTCACCCTCCCAGGGCCTCAGGAGCCCACTAGTTCAACGTTTCAGTGCTGGCAGTAACTCAATCATCAGGAAACCTGAGCTGATACAGGAGTTGCCCAGGGCAGTGGTGTCAGGTGTTGGGGAGCATGGTGTCACTGCCCACTGTGGGGAGTATAAGGAACAGGGATAGAGAAGAATCTGAGGAACTGGCCCTTTCCTTCTACTGCTCTGGCTGGGGAAGGGGCCCAGACTCCAGGTCAGTTTTCCTTCTCATTAAGCCGTCACCTGTCTTCTCTGGGTGTTTCTTGAAAAATAAGAGTGATCATGCTATCTGCCCAGTTTTCCTTTTAAAGTCAACTCACATGAGAGAACAGAAAAAAAAAAAAAAACAACAAAAACCAGGGCCACTGACAGGACTGCCAAGAGCAGTCACAGGCCTGTGGCACAGAGGGCAGGAGACCCAGTGTCTACTGCAGTTTGAAAGGTCCAGGGAGCAGGACAGGTGAAGCCCACCTTCACTTACTTTTCTTGGCCTGGGGGAGGCCAGCCTTTGGCCTTGGGGGTCTAAAGTTGCTGGGGCTGAGGAAAATGCTGCTGGTAGGGGAGGGAGCGTGGGGACTGTTGGGATAGAAACCCACACCACCAATGTTGACCCCTGCAGAGAGAAGACCCAATAAGGGAAATCAGGCTCTAATTGCTAGCCACAGGGAGAGTTCTGAGGCCCCGGCCCCTTCTAGACTGGAACTTACCTCTAGGTCCAAAGAGAGCCCCATAGCAAGGCTTGTGGCAGTATGGCCTCCCGTTGTGCTGGGCACAAGCACAGGCAGAGGAAGGGGTCATTCAGGGCCAGGGGACATGCTCACCGGCCTTTTCATTACTGGCCTCAGGTGCAAATGTGCACTGTGACTATTCTGATAGTGATGGGTGAGAGCTAGTATGTCAGATTGCCACTGTGGGCTAGGGATTGAGGGTATGGGTGGGAGACAAGAGCAGTCGCTTACCCCTCCCTCAAAGCCATGGGCCAACAGCATCACTGAGACTCCCAAATTTTGGCTGGTATGAGGCCCATCAGGTGAATAGCCCCTGATGTTGTCTGCTGAGGTTGCCTTTGGCAGGTTTCCAAGGCTGAAATTGTGGTCTATCAGGGTTGGGGGTGTGATAGAGGGCTGTCACCCTGATCAGGCCTCACCTCTGCATGCCCACCAGGGGACAAGATGCTGTGGCAGCGCTCACATTTCAGGCAGAAACGGTGCCAGTTCTTGCCTAAGGAGCTCACTTTCTCGGCTGTGGGGAACAAGGTGGATCTGGGCTGTCAGGAGTCCAGCTCAGCTCCAGGTGCCCTCCTTTTGTCCTTTCAGCTTTCTGGGGGAACCAGCCCAGCCGGTCTCGCCCTCTGGAGACAATGAATATTATCTCCAGGAGAAAGTTTCAGCCCACCCTGGTGCCTCTTGCCTTAGGCTCTTGGTGGCAGACAAACACACACACACACACACACACACACACACACACACACACACACTCATTCACTCACTCAAATGATACAGGGACCCCGGGGGCTCACACTTATCTTTACTCCTTGGTTCTAGCCTCACCGAAGTAAACTGGTTGCTGGCAACGTGGACAAGTCCAGCTCATGGTTCTTCATAGGACAGCCTAGTCCAAACAGCAATTCTAGGCACCGGCAGCTAAGTCCCGCCCCTCTGCCAGCCCCACCCACTGTCCAGCTTTGGTCTCATCGAGTTGGGGCCGCCCATTGGACACCAAAAACTTTGAGCTGAGGGACTGAGGCGATTTATCAATTTATTTTAAAGAACTTCAAAGAATGGGTGGAACCCAGACTTGGGAGAGAAGGAGCCCTGAGTTCAATGGCTCGTTTTCTAGGTCAGTGAAAAGAAACAAGCAAGCATCAGGCAGGCATTCTTCTAAGTGGTTTAATTCCTCCTTAGTGGAGCAGGGCTGAGAGCAAGGTAATGTGAAGTCCACCTTTCAAGTAAATCTCACACACACCTTCATTTTCTTGTTTGTACAAAGAGTAGGAACATGGTAGCAGTCTCCATGGCACAGGGTTGTAATAGATAAATTAATCTCAACAGTGCCTGGCACATGACTGCTATGAAAACAGTATGAAGAGTCCCTCAGATGAACTCATAACCCAGTCTGTAAATTCCAAAATGTGGTCCTGCTCATAATCTATGACTTATGCATAAGATTATCAGACTTGTTAAATTTAGAAGTTTAAGTTAAACACCAGCCATATATTTCTAACTCCAAGACTTAAAAATGTTGTGTAGTCACTGATCACCATACGGGGGTGCAATGGCTAGCTACAACCCAATGGTCACACAGCTGGCCCTAGTTAAACTAAATGGGTCACAAACAAAACCCAAACCTGAAAACCATGAACCTGGGAAGGAACCGGGGTGGTGGAGGTGGTGAGAGAAGAGACGATAAGAAGGTGTGTGGGATGGCATTAATCAGAATATGTTACACATGTGTATGAAATATCAGGTAACTAAATTAATTTAAAAACGAAAAACCCCTTAGCAATTACTTCCCCAAAAGCCTGATAGAATATATTTAAGTTGTAGAACACATCTTAACTTTGTTTAGTTTTGGTTTTTTGGTTTTTTGAGGCAGGGTTTCTCTGTGTAACAGCCCTAGCTGCCCTGGAACTAGCTCCTGTAGACCAGGTTGGCCTTGAACTTACAGAGAGCGCCTGCCTTTGCTGGGATGGATTTTAAAGGCATGTGCCACGACTGCCCGGCTCTACATCTTAACTTTTAAACCAGACTTTATTATAAATATTAAATTTGTTATCAGTTATACAGCTACTCAGAAGAGTCTTTTTTAGATTTTTACTTTAGGTGTTTAGGTGTTTTGCCTGTGTGTACACTGATGTGCATGCAGAACCCACAGAGATCAAGAGAGAGTAGGACCCCCTGGAACTGGAATTACAGGTGGCTGTGTTCTGCCGTGTGGACTCCGAGAAGTCGAGTATTCTTAACTGCTGAGCCATCTCTCTAGCCCCATTCAGATGGGATTTTTTAAAATGACATTTAACAAAGTAAATAGAAACACAGATATAAAAAGATTTTAAAATGTGGCAAAAATAGCCCAAGGCTGGGGAGTGGTCTCGCTCAGTGAAGTGCCTACTATTCAATCCTGAGAATCTGAATGTGGGTCTCCAGAACCCAGGCTCTATGGCATATGCCTATAATCCCCACATAGAGGCAGAAACATGGGGATCTCTGAGGCTTGCTGGCTAGCCAATCGACACAACCAGTGAGCGCTGGGTTCAGTGAGTGATCTTTATTTCTCCCCCCATACCCCTTATTTTGTTTTTGTTTTGCTTTTTTTTTTTTTTTTAAAGCAGGGTTTCTCTGTGTAGCCCTAGTTGTCTGGAACTAGTTCTATAGACCAGGCTGGTCTTGAGCTCAGAGATCCGCCTGCCTCTGCCCCCCCCCCCGAGTGCTGGGATCAAAGGGTGTGCCACCACCGCCCGACTATTTGCAACTTTTAAAGACTTATTTATTCATGTATTTTATGTATATGAGTGCTCTGTCTTCATTAATCCACACCAGAAGAAGGAATCTGATCCCATTATAGATAGTTATGAACCACCATGTTGTTGCTGGAAATTGAACTCAGGTCCTCTGGAAGAGCAGTCAAGTGCTCTTAACCTCTGAGCCATCTCTCCAGCCCCTATTTGCAACTTTTAAAATTAGAAAATTTAAAACATTTAAAAAGAAATATGTTTACATAAAAACTTGCATTTGAATGTTCATACCACAACTGGTAGCAAAAGGGGAAGGTGGAAAAAAAAAATCTAAAGTTCATCATCTGATAAGTGGATGAGCAGCACTGGAGCACAATTAAGAAAAACCCAGAGACTGATATTGGCATTCAACCTGAAGGTCAGAAAAGCAAAACAGCCACTGGCTCTTACCAGAGGCTGAAGACTAGAGAGTTATAGTTTTCCTTGTTTATCAGGCACAGAAAGAAAGTTATGATAAATAGATAGGTACAAGACTTCGGACTCATCAAGTTAGGATAGATACGGAATACTTTCTCTGAATTTGTCAAATGCAAATGGACTAGACATTGTTGCTATATTTATTGCCTGTATATATTGTATATAATTATTGTAATTATTGTATATAGTTTTTCTATATTAGTTATAGCTGTTTTTTTTATTTTAGACAAAAAGGAGAAATGTAGTGATATTTCATTTGTATTTTAATAAATAAAGCTTGACTGAAGATCAGAGAGGAAACAGCCGCACTGGTCAGCCTTACAGATCAGGCAGTGATGACACACACCTTTCATCCCAGTAGCCACACTAGTTTGCATAGAAACCAGGCAGTAGTGGCACAAGCCTTTAATCCCAGCCCTAGAGAGGGTTATAAGACAGGATTCCTGGAGGCAGGATCGCCATTTCAGACGGAGGTAGAGGTAAGAGCCACTGTCTAGCTGTTTTGTTTTTTGACCTTCAGGTTGAACTCAGTATCAGTCTCTGGGTTTTTAATTAATCGTGCTATATTTGAATCAGATAGTAAAATGTCGTCCATGTGATGGTAAACTATAGACTCAGGAAACTGCTTACATATCACAGCATGTGGTATTACATGTGCTGGTTAGTTTTCTGTGTCAACTTGGGGAGTTGAAACCTCAACTGAAGAGCTGCCTCTATCAGACTAGCTTGGCAGGCATGCTAGTGGGACCTTTCCTTCGCTACTGACTGAGGTGGGAGGGCCTGACCCACTCTGAGTGGTGCTACCCGTGGGTAGGTGGTCCTGGTGGTAAGAAATCAGGTTGAGCAAACCCTGCCTCGAATCCCTGCCCTGACTTCCTCTCATGAAGGACTATAAGTTATAGAATGGAATTGACCCTTTCCTCCTCGTGTTGCTTTTGGTCATGGTGTTTATCACAGCGACAGAAAACAAACTAGATTAGTAAGCGTATTATATAACATTATCCAGTGGTAAGAAGGCAGGCAGTACTGATGCGTGCTACAGCAGGGGCGAACCATGAAAACATTAACGAAGAAGTGTGATTCTATTTCTAGACCACCTTATTAATTCCTGCCTAATCGGCTCCTCTCCATGTATCCAGTACCAGGCTATGGAGCACAGTGACTCCTACAGCACCACCCCTGCTGAAGGGTAGATAGAGCCAACCCAGAACAGCCGAACCTGATTAAAAATTAAAAAGGCAAATACAGTCTAGAAGTAAAATTGGCCTGCCAACTTCCAGTTTTTACCCCTCCACACAGTCAACTATGAGCTGTCTGCTCCCTTAGTGAGTGAACACCGTCAAGCACTGTATCTCCAGTGCCTCGCTCAATCTCTCGCACACAATGTGCAATAAGCCATGTCTGTTGGTGAGAAAATGGAAACTACTCACAAAAGTCCCGGTTGTGAACACTGTTGCTAATGGAAGGGATGTGGAGAAAAGGGTCCAGGAGGACTCAAGATTTGATAATGAGGAAGGCCTGGATCTAGGGAAGCTCAGTTGCCTAGGTACAAGGTCTCTTTCTTTTCTTGTTCCTTTTTTCCTCAGAATTTGGGATTGAATTTAGGGATTGGTCAAGCTAGGCAAGTGCTCTACCACTGAGTTATATTCCCGACCATGTAGTTCCTTTCTTTTTTTTCTCTTTTAAATCAATACTTTATTTATTTATTTATTTATTTATTTATTTATTTATTTATTATGTATACAATATTCTGTCTGCGTGTATGTCTGCAGGCCAGAAGAGGGCACCAGACCTCATTACAGACGGTTGTGAGCCACAATGTGGTTGCTGGGAATTGAACTCAGAACCTTTGGAAGAGCAGGCAATGCTTTTAACCACTGAGCCATCTCTCCAGCCCCTGCAGTTCATTTCTTAAAACACGTAACTATTAACATGTATGATACAAAACAATATGATTAGACTAAGCCCAATTATAAGTATCAGGTAACTAAGCTGGGCATGGTGGCACATGCCTTTTATCCCAACATTCATGAGGCAGAGACAGGCAGATCTCTGAATTCCAGGACAGCCAGGACTACACAGAAAAACCTCATCTCAAAAAAAAAAAAAAACCAAAAACCAAATCAAAACAAAACAAAAAACCAACCAAACAAATAAAAAATATCAGGTATCTAATTAAAAAAACGTGAAAATTTGCTTTGGCAGCAAACCATCCCTACTATTTATAGACATTCACAAGACCTACTAATTAAGCTCAATTAGCTGAAGCACAAATGATATGTATCATTGACTGTGTGGCAAATGAGGGAATGTGGGAAAGTGTGATGTAAACTATAAGCTCCATATGTGTATCACTGTTGTTAAGTGTTTGGTTCACTTTGCAGTGAGTTTGATTACAAATATAAACTCTACTAATTGTATATTTCTCTAGACTGGCTCATATATATAATCACGTGCTTGTGACATGTAAGGCAATACCAAGAACTATGAGCTAGACATGTGGCAAATGCCTGCCATCCCCTCAGGCAAAAGGATGGCAGACTGAGGCCAGCTGGGCTATACCAAGAGACCTGTCCCAACAACATGTCATCCTAATGAAAAAAACCAACCCCACAAAAAAACCAAAACCCCTTTGTTCTAGATAACTGTTTAAAACTTGAAT